CCCCCCCCCTTTTCCCCCCACCTTCAGCTCTGTCTCTCTTCCAGCGCTTGTCTGCGGTCGGTGTTGGCAGCACAGCCGTACTCAATGCTAGACTTTTGCCTTTGCCCTTCCCAAAAGACTGGGGACAAGGGTCCATGCTAGGTGGACACTGGTGACCTTTGGGCCCTACTGGGGTGCTTTGGGACTCGTTTGAAGAGAGCTCAGTTCCTGGACTTAGCGGTGCTACCAGCTATTGAGGCCAGCAGTGACCTGGCTTCCTTCAGTCTGGCCTTGCTCCTTGCTTGGCAACTTGTCATTTTCCTGCTTGGCCATTTTTGGTCATTTTCATTTGTGACCATTTGCATTTTCGGCCATTTTCAGGGCCTTCTTGGCCTCACATTCCCATGCCCTTATTTTTTGGAGCCTGCTGAGAATGCGGCATAAGTTTCCCTGTCATCTTGCAATTACACACCAGTGATGATTGATCATCGATGTAGATTTCAGCAACTCCTCTCTTGTGAACTACCGATCTTGGTATTCATGTTCAACTATCTTATCGGTTTCGTAGGACACATTTATTGAAGTAGGACCAGTTGATCTGCAAGAGGAGAATTCATTGTTAGTTACAGAGGGTAGGAGTTTGGAAGCATGAAACACAAGATAAGTGCTCAAGTGAAGGGGGGGGGGGGCATCAACGACACTGGTGGGACCGTTGGGATGGTCACCCTCAGTTTCTAGAATATCCCAAGGGCCAAAGGGCCATAGTAAAGTAGTAGTGATATTCTCGTGTTAGACTGAGCTTTGAACCATCAGGATGATGATCACCTACAATTTCTCAGTGTATAGGAAATGATCACTGATTTGTGCAATGAGCCTGAATTTCGAACGAAGCATTTCACAACACACAACACACCGGAAGCATGAGATCTGCATCTCTGCATAAAACACATCCACATTCAGGCTTCATCTGACGAGTTGAAAGCCAAAGCATGAGATCTGGCAATTCTAAGATTGTTTGAAAACGGAACTCCTATATATAAAGTTTGTGTGCACGAGCTGGGCTGCCAGCGAACAACACCCAACGACGAACTGTTCTTCTCATCCCTCACTCTACTCTCGGGCCTTACTACCTCTTGAATGTCTTCTTGCTCGGCCGAGTTAGTCCAGCTCCCTCCAGTCCAGTCAGTGGGCCATGGTCCAAGAATAGTCAGTGAGCATTATTTGCTCGTCACTGGTGAGGACCGTAGCCAGCAGGAAATGGGTAACCATCTGGAAAATCCGAGGAAAGGACCTGAAGCCAGATACAAAGGCACAGCAGCAGTGGACATCAACATCTTTTCGGTTCCTGCTACTTGCAGAAGCCCTACTCTGAACTTGTGCGACGAGCGACAAGCGAGATAGGATGTGAGGTTACGGGTAGCTGTAGTCAATCGCGCTGGGCTCCGCCGATCTCGCTGGGCGCCGTAGATTGATTACAGCTACCCGTGACCTCACGTCCTGTCTCGCTTGTCGCTCGTCGCATTGTGAACCAAGGTCCTAAAGCTACCTGTGATTCCTAAAGCAGCCCAAGGTCCATTGTGAACCAGCACTGACTGTGAGGAGACGGTCTTCTAGACTGAGCTCTGAAATCTTGCAGCTTTTTGAGGTCTGCAATATTACTCTTGGAGGCAAGGGTGCCGTCGTAACGCGAATACAGTGCACAGTTATTAAAACTGTATTTGGGGCAACTTTGAGTCAAGGTACAGCAATAATGACGGCACAATGCGTACATTGTATTCAGGTGAATAAGGTAGTCTGAGGGGGCATGCAAGTGAATGCTTGTTGAAGCCAAGGGGAGAAGCTCGGGCCATGTTTGATGTGTTATGCTTGAGTTGTGACATGCTAAGCCTTCCAATTGTGGATTCATGATGCTCATTGCGTCGTGGCAAAACTTCAAATTGTGGATTTGTTATGCTCAATGGATTTGTTATGTGCAAATTGTTGTGTGCTGCTGGTTATGTGTTGCGCTCGGGGTTATTTGTGCGTGTTTGTGTGGCCAATATTTTGCTTGTGTCATTTTGTAATGTGCGATGCTGCGAGCGATATGATGTGCTTGGCATATGACATGTACATTTCAGTTTAACGTAGCGACATTCCGGGCTGCAGGGAAACGCCCTTGTGAGCCTCCAGGCACGCAGTGCAGCGATTCAGACATCTCCGCCGAATTGCTGGACACGAAGTGTCGAGTGTGATATGATGTGCTTGGCATATGACATGTACATCTCAGTTTATCGTAGTGACATTCTGGGCTGCGTGTGACATGTTCTTCTCTTTGTTACAACTCAGTCTGTCAGTCTGTGTGACACATGGGTGGGGTCACTGGGGTGCCGTGTGAACGCGTTACCTCGTTTGTTCCGACATACTCCTGCCGTGTAAGATGCTTTGTGACATTTGAGAGTGGCGTGTGGATGTGTGTCAGGCTCTGCTGCATGTCATGCAGATGTGTCCACTTGTGTGTGACATCTTGTGACACTCTGTGTGCAAGCATGCAGGCACGGCTGAGTCTATGGCCAGACGGCAGGCTGGTGGTCGTTGAGGACGCACCAGGATCGCTGGACCTCAACATCTTCTTCGACAAGTGGGCATTCACAAAACCAGTCAGGAAGGATTCCCTCTCTGTTGAGGTAAACATTATTCCTCTCCCAATCTTCTTATTCATATTTCTTCTCTCCCTTTTTCTTCTCGTCGTCTTTTGTGCAGTTCCCCTCAGCTGCGTCAGTTTATCTTGTTTGAGTCTCAAGGAGTCTGCGACTCTGAGCACTGAGCCTGAAGATTCCAACCGCTAAGTCTGAAAATTTTCTGAAAAATGAGTCTGAATTTTTCTCTGAAATCTTTGAAAACCAAGTCTGAAGGCTCGGAAACTAAGGGCCAGATCCCACCGGCAAAGAGGATTGGACGTGTTCCACGCAGAGGTGCAGAAAAGTAGATCAAACACAAATTTTCGCACCTGTCCACAAACACGTCCACATTCAGAAACTTCTTCCAATCCTCGTTGCCAGTGGGATCTTGCCCTAAGGGTCATCGTGTTTGACCCTGAACACTGTGATAGTATACAGCTTCCCCTTTAGTTTGGCGAAGACAAATGTCAGGAGGCCAGTTGGTCTAATTTGAATGAAACTGGATGGCAGTTGGTCGAACGGAGTTGCTTTTCGTTTTGGTCCAATTGGAATGAAACTGGAGTGAAACTGGACTGCAGTTGGTTCAACCCAATTCAAATGATACTGAGAAGCTGGAATGGAACTGGACTGCAGTTGGACCAAACCAATTCGAATGATACCGAGAAGATCAGCATTACCCCTGGCAAGGGGATGACATAACTCGAGAAATGGTCTACACGCCAAAGTAAAACTTCAATGTGAATTGCAGAATCTGTGAGCCACCGATACATTAACGCACATGGCGCCGCCCAAGGCTTCTGCCGAGGGCACCCCCATCTGGGAAGAAAGAATGAGAAAAACAGCTTACACAAGTTTCGTCCCGTACTGTTTTGGGAAAACGATTTCGTCCTGTATGCAATGAACATTGTGTCCTACTTATCCGTACTGTTTAGGAAAGGCCCTCTGATGCCCGTCTTCTCCTCTTTTGCTGTCATGGACAAGTCGAGCAGCTGCTGGCAGACTGAGGATCTGAGTCAATGTAATGCATAAAGCCTGTTCAGGATCTTTTTTTTTTTTTTCATGATTGTGTCGTTTGGTGCATATCCTTCTGAGCATGGCAACTACATGAAGGAGTTGCTTGATCGTATGGCCTAGCCTCCATTTTTTTTTTTTTTTTTGCTTTTTGAATTTCTGTCCTGTTTTTGGGATGGTAAGCAGTGTTGCACACCCTGACGGTCGGCGGCCCTTGACTGGTCGGCTGCTGACCAGCCGACCGGTCAGCTGGTTGGCACCTGCCCATCGGGGGTCGTCGTTACCCCGCAAAAAAAAAAAGCCAAAAAAAGGGGGAAAAAATCAAAAAAATAAAATGAAAAAAGAATAAAAAATGGAAAAAAGGGTCCAGAACCCCTAATAACCCCACCAACACCGCTGTGATGTGTGAAAACATGCGCGCGCGCGAGAGAGAGACAGAGACACACACAGAGAGAGAGAGAGAGAGAGAGAGAGAGAGAGAGAGAGAGAGAGAGAGAGAGAGAGAGAGAGAGAACAAATAGCCCTTTATTAACATTAATCAGAAAACCCCTGCAGGTAATCCTAGAGGCCCCTGCAAATAATTAGCAAGGGCCTCCTCTCCACAAAAGTGGCACTTCTCGAACACATGCAGGGCAACTATACATGGTGTAGATTTGCATTAAGGTCCGTGTTTCAGCAGTTATGGGAGCACGGAGCACGTGATTATCTGGGCAGTAGCAGGCCAACTCCCCAGGTGATTTTCAGGGCTTCCCTCCACTACTCACCAAATGTGCAAAACTAGAATGAATCTTCTGCTAGAACATGGAATCATACGCCGCCATATGTTTTGTCGTTTGTGCAAGTGGTGACGAGTGGAGCCAGGCCCTTAGGGTCACTGCTCGTAGGACAAGGAAAACAAAAGAAAGAAAGAGAGAGCTACGATAGTAAGTAGTTGTAGCCCATAACTGCTGGAACACAGACCTGAATGCAGATCCAGAAGATATATTGCTGGCCTGCTCCTCGCTCATCCAAAATTCGTTGAGTGTCTCCGCTGACCTGCAAATTCTCTGCTGGGGGCCCTTCAGAAAAAAAGCTATACGCAATGAGGAATACGGGGCCCTAATTTTGTTTTCCTCTGCCCTTGAAATCTGTGGAAGGGAGGGGCATGTCTGGCTGGCTACCTCAGCCACCCGCAATACCCCTATACACCCCCTCAAAACCTCCAAATCGTCCCCCAACACCCTCATTACTCCCCCGAATACCCCTTATAACCCCCCTATACCCCCCCCCGACCCCCGCCCTACCTCCCGGCATCCCCAGAAGTTGCTCAGCATATTTGGGCTGTTCTCAGCAAGCGCAGTACAGCCCCTAACTCAGAATTGAAGCGAAACGGTCGGCGGTTGGGGTCGGCGGTCGGCAGGCATGCAACCCTGATAGTAAGTTAAACCACCAGTACTTGGCCCAGCTATCGAAGCCGATCCTCCCAGCCCCCTGCCCGCCAAGCCCGACGGAACCGCCATCGGTCTTTTTTGTTTTCTTTTTGGCTGTGGCCTCCAGCCAATGCGGTCCGGTAGGTCGAAGCCCGAATGCTGCAGCGTGTTAACGGGGAAGCGCCGCAGCCGATAGCTGGGCCAAGCACTGGTGGTTTAATAACCAGGATGATTTTTATTTTACTCAATGTCAGATATGAATGCCGCATGGGGATGGGGGTGGGGGAGTGAAGAATCGAGTGGGGAAAACAAATATATGAATGCTAAGAACTGGTGTGAGTGATCTTCCCCCACCCCCACCCCCTCTTAGCATTCATATCTGTCACCCAGTGACAAATGCAAAACGGGG